CACGTGCGCGCCCCGAGCGGCAGCGGGGCCGCGCCGGGGCCGGGAGAGGCGGCTGTGTGCATGCGGCTGCTCCATCGGCGGGCCTGCTGTGGTTTTCTTCCCCCAGTTTTCTCCGGAGGCTCCTTTCCCCGAAGCGCGGAGCCATGACGTCCCTGGCGGAGCAGCTGAAGCGGCTGGCGCTTCCCCAGACCGATCCCAGCCTCCTGGACCGCAGCGAGGCGGCATCGCTGCTCTTCACCTGCAAGGAAGCCGCGACTATTGACAGGGACACGTTTTTTGCCATCGGTGAGTTCGGCTGCACGGGTGCCACTGGTTTTTAAAAACACTCCAAAAAACAGCTGGAGAAGGATAAATAGGACAGGCAAAGCCGTATTCAAAAAAGGCCAAAATAATAGCTGAGCTGTCAGCTAGTTAGCATCACTCCAGTCCTTGGGAAAACCGTGGAGCGGTGCCTCTAGGAACATGTTTCTGGAACGTAAGGATGAGGTGATGGGGAAGAATGAGGGATCCCCAAGATGCTCAAGGACTGGAGAATTTACCCAGTAAGGGACATTTGATGAGAGGAATGTTTCTGGTCTCATTTGGTTTGGAAGAGAAGGCTTGGGATGGGTCTCATAGGAGTCTGCCATTACCTTTGAGGAGATTCCCAGAAGATGCACCAGGCTATCAGCAGGAGTCTATGGCTGGAGAACAGGAGTCGCTTGGCATAAGTTGGAAGAATAGGAGTTAAAATTGGATAGAAGGAAAAGCTTTATCAGTGTGAGGACAGACCAGCAGTTATCAAGATTGCCCAGGGAGATTGTGCCTTGGAAAAAAAAAGTGACTTTTTTGAAAACTCTCAGGGTAATGCCCTGAGCAACCTGGTCCAATTGTGAAGACTCTCCTTTGAGCAGAGCCTGGGACTGCAAATCTCTCAATGTGCCTTCTGACATGAATTCTGTGTTTCATGAAAACATGCTGATGCCCTGCTCTTGGGTAATGTTATGGTCACAAGTAATGTGAAGTGGGAGTAGCCTTTGCCGTGTTGGCACACTTCAAATTCTTTATGCTCTATTCCTTTTAATTTTTGTTTAAAATTTTATCCAGGAATGTGATATTCTTCAATAAGAAAGCTGTTTCCTAAAATCAGGCAGATTGATATAATGTTTTCATTTAAAGTAACAGGATTGTAGATATATATCTTTTTTGCAGCACATTATGTTTTTTTTGGTTTCTTAAATAGTTACTCTAGAACTGCTTGGCTGAGTGTGAAGATGGCGTTTTTATGGTCTCTTATCCAATATTGGATCTTTGATCATTCCACTGTTAGAAAAAATAAAATCTATACATTGGATTTGAATTTCCTATGTTCCAGGGGGCATCTGTTGTCCTCCCATCCTTCCACTGTGTATCTCTGAGAAGAGTCTGGCTCCATCTCCTTGATAACCCGCACTATATCCTATTAAGTAGCTGCAAACACCGGGAAGATTTCCTTTTGACTCTCTCTTCTCCAGGCTAAACAGTTCCTCCTTTTCCTTGTACGTTGTTTTCCAGCCCCTAGACCGTCTCAGCATTCCTCTGCTGAACTTGCATCTAGAAATGTTTTTCCTCTACTCATGATCTCAAAATTGCACGCAGGGCTCCAGCTGCAGCTCACAAATGGAAGGGGCAGTTCCCTCCTCACTCAGCCTGCTGGCCGTGCTCTCAGGGACAGCACAACCCAGGATGCTGCTGGTCTTCACTGCTGCAAGAGCACTCTGCTGATAGTTGCTAATCTTGTTTTTCTTTGTCAGTTGAGAAATAGTTCAAGTGTATCAAAAGTTTTGGTCTTAGGCCTCTTTGCTGTTTGTTTTGGTTTGCTTTGTGAGGATGATGATGAGGACATATGCCAGTATAGCAAAAAAGTTGGATATGCCAGTGAGGAGGTAGGTGGGTAGGACTGGAGAACGAAAACTGTTGTGTTTAAAGCATTCCTCCCATTTTTTTTTTTTCCTCCCCACAGGATGCACTGGCTTAGAAGAGCTGATGGGGATTGATCCTTCATTTGAAGAGTTCCAGTCCAGTTTGTTTAGTTCTACATCCAAAGGCCTTGAACGCAGTGTTCAGACTAAAGCAGTAAATCAGCAGCTGAACAAGAATATTTCATTGTTCCTCATTCACCTGTCCCCCTACTTTATGCTTAAGCCAGCCCAGAAGTGCCTTGAATGGCTGATTCACAGGTAATCCACTGAATATCCTACATGTCAATAGATAAAGCTAGAAATGCTAGATTTCTTTTTCCCCAGTGAGAATAATTTAAGATAATTTTACTTTACCTTTCTGAAAATACAGGTTAGGATGTTAATAATGTGAATTTGGACTTGGTCCTTATGGGGCCAGATGCTCTTCTTTGCCAATTAGATTTTTGTCTTTTGATGAATTTCTGTGATTATTTTGATCTGTCATGGTACTCTATGTAAAAGCAATTACTTCCTTGCCTAGCTTTCCCAAAGTTACCCAGCCCTAGGCATCTTACAGAGCACATGGGCACTTCTATATTGTGCTTTTAGAAGTGGGCTTTGTAAAATAGCAAATTTTTGGTATTAACTTTGAACCATGAGCCCTAACTATTCTTATTTCAAGGTTTTGTAAGAAGGTGTGAAGAAGAAAACAATGAAGTATTTTGTGAAGTTATATTTATTTCTATAAATTAACCTATCCAAATGCAGAAAGTGCAGTACTTCGTATCACAAGTGTGTGATTTTCCTGCAACAGATGTATCACAGTTTTTCTATTAATGTATTATACTGAGAGATTCATACTAGATTATTGTAATGTCTGGTTTAATATTGAAATCTGTGCAAAAGGTAATTTTTAGTCGTACAGGGACCTGAAATTGTTGATAGTGAGGCAAAAAAATATGCTAGCACTGTTTCTTTCTTCTAGCACATACAGGCTGGTAGCCACCTCAAGTTTCTGGACTGTAGGTGGACCATAGATCTGAGTCAGTAAGACAACCATGATAGGTCTTGCTTAAAAGCAAGTAAACAAGGTATTCTGAGAAAAATGTGGATGAATCTTTTTTTCTTTCTGGCTTCCAGACACTTTTTAACTACATACATGTGTTTTTTTCCTTAGATTTCACATTCATCTCTACAATCAAGACAGTTTGATTGGTTGTGTTCTGCCATATCATGAGACTAATCTATTTGTGAGAGTTATTCAACTTCTAGATACGAAAAGCCCAACTCATAAGTGGCATTGGATGGATCCAATACGGGTAAAGTATTTAACAGACGCAGGATGGAAGGACCTTGGACTTTAATAATATCTTGGCTCTTCTACTCTGCTTATGAATATGGTCCACCAATTTATGTGGTTTGTTGTAGAAATGTACTGAAAGG